AAGAAAAAAAAAAAAAAAAAAAAAACTCTCAAAAAAAAAAAGATTGATCCAGAAGAGCTCTCTGTAAATTCCCATCTTATGAAAGACCTGGGCTTAGACAGTTTGGACCAAGTGGAGATTATCATGGCCATGGAAGATGAATTTGGATTTGAAATTGCTGATACAGATGCAGAAAAGTTCATGTGTCCTCAAGAACTTGTAGATGACATTGCAGCTAAGAAGGATGTTTACGAATAAAACCCCAGAGCCCTGTTCTTCACCGAGAGAAGGCTGACGCTGCTGACGAGCATCTGGGAGGGAGAACACATTTTGGCATGATTGCCGACTGACAGAGTAATTCTGCTGGACTTGTATTTAAATCGTCTAAGTGTTTTACCATTTGAGAATAAATCTATAAAACCTAAAAAAAAAAAAAAAAAAAGGAAAAGAAAATTTGATGTGGGGCCAGTAGGTGGCATGGTGGTGAAGGGCGCTGGGCTGACTCCCACGTGGCCCACTGCGGTTCATGTCCCAGACCTCGCAGCTTGCTTTCTCGCTTTCCCTCTCTCACTCTGTCCCTCTCTGGTCCAATTAAACTAAATTAAATATTTTTAAAAAGAAAAAAATGTAGTGTCAACATAAAAAGAAGTAAATGGGTATACTTCTTAAAAATGTATTATTTATTGGGGTTGGCAGATGACATGGTGGGTAAGAGCACTGGACTCCCTCCTGAATGTAGTGGCTTGCTTTTTTACTCCCCCCCCCCTTCTCTCTCTTGCTCTCACTCTTCCCCTCTCTGGTCAAATTAAAATAAATAAATAAATAAATAAAGTTAAATAAAACAATTATTTTTAACACTTATTAATTTGCATATGTAATATACTGCATAGTATATTAATATATATAATTTATATATAATGGTATATTACATATAAAATACTATATAGTATATTATATATAAATATGTGTGTATATATATTTATATAAAATAAATATAGGCTAAAGGGATGGCCACACTGCAATCTCTTCTCTTTATTCTCTTCCTGGGATTTTGGGCACACATGCACATCTACCCAGTGTGAGTTTCAAGTTGCCGGGTCTGAAACTTGAGCCCCAGTTGGCTATGTGCAAGTCCAGCGCCTTAACCACTACACCACCTTCTGGCCCCAGGGGTACACTCTGTTTAGAAATTGTTTCAGATAATATGCATGCAAAACAGTGGCCCTTTGCCCAATTTTTTTTGTTAGAGTCCTGTAGTAAATAATAGAAATAAAGCCTGTGAGCTGAAAAGTAAAGGCAACTTGGGGCTGGCAGGTGGCATGGTGGCTAAGGGTGCTGGACTCCCACATGGTCGCCCATAGTTCAAGTCCTGGTCCTGGTGGCTTGCTTTCTCACTTTCCCTCTCTCCCTCTCTCTCTCTCATACTCTGTCCCTCTCTGGTCAAGTTAAAATAAATAACTAAATATATAAAGTTAAATAATTTTTAAATTAAAAAAAAAAAGTAAAGAAAACCTGAACATAAGCTCCAGCGCTGAGGGAAACATTCCGATCTCATTAATAGTAAGAACTGTGCAGAACATTTGAGATACATCATCTTGGTTAATTCTGACAATCAACTTGTGATGCAGGTCCATTATACAGGTGAGGAAACTGAGGCTCAGAGGTTGTGACTGGCCAAGGCTTACACAAAACCCCTAACAGACTGACTGGGACTTGAACACATGTCTGCGTAATCCCCATATATGTGTTTTAACCACATGGCTTTGCTATTTGGCAGAGAAAAGAGAGGCCTCTCCCATCTTCCATTTGTGGGTACAATAGTAGTTGCACTGGCAGCAGCTAATGGCTAGCCATGCCAGCCACAGGGACTCCCAGGAGACCCAAGGCACCATGGTACCTGCTGCCAGTGACCTGTAACACAGAAAGACAGAGTGACCTCTGGTGGCCTAAGAAAAGCCACACTCCCATACTGTTGAATCGAGGAGGTCCTGTTTCAGGGGGTACAACAGTGCGTGAAAGGAAGGGAACACCCCAGACAGTTGCTACCAGATCATGGCTCCGCTTCGCTCCATGCGCCTGTACACTCGACCTCTTCCTCCCACACTCATCTGTCGTCTACCAACTTTCCACCCGCTGCTCTTCAGAGGTGAAATAGCACCAGCAGACGCGTTCATGGGCTTTTTTTTTTTTTTTTTAATTTCCCTCAGGAAACAGTTACCACTCTTGAAAATACCACAGTAGCAGGTCGATTGTGGAGTGGACAGAATAAACTCCAACTCCATCTCTTATTTCAAAAAATCCATTTAATATACTGTCCTTGAATAGGGGCCATACCAGATATTAAAATGATCGGAACAGACACGCTTGATCATAGCCGAAAGGCCAAGAGGCGATGGACCCAAACTTCTAAAATCCTGGCCCCACTCTTTCATTTCTGTGTGATCTTTGACTTAATTACATAAATTCTCCGCACCTTAATTTCTTTTTAGAAGTCCTACCATGTACATTTGCATACCTGTGATCCATTCTTCTTAATAACTGCATTTACTGTACCATGATTCATTTCATCACTGCTTGAATGATAAACATTCTCTTTAATCTCAGTGTTTAGCTACTTCAAATGATGCTGCAATAAGCATTTTATAGCTATGGTCCAGGGTTTTCCTTTCATAGGATGCCTACCCTGAGTGGGATTTGTAGATGAAAAGAGATATTTTTATTTTTAAGTGAAGTTGCCGAAATATTTTTTTCAAAAAGATTGGACGATTTACAGCAACAGTTAATAACTCTCTTTTTCAACAATCTCACCAGCAATCAATATTATCTGAGTTGTTTTATTTATTTACTTTTTAATTTGCTATAAGGTATGTGTGCTCCCCAGAGAGAGACAGAAAGAGGGAGGGGAAGCGAGGAAGCACCCCACGCCCACCCCCAAGAAGGATACCCATGCCATCTCTTCCATTCTACAAAGATTTCGGGCACACACTCACACGTGCCTAGAGTGTTTTCTTAGACTGCTGAGCCTGGGAATAGAACTGCGCAGTCAGATAGATGGGGTCCACACCAGCAGCTGGGCCTGTTATGTGATTTTTTTTTTTTTTTTGAGATTTTTCCTACAGGGTGCATGTGCTTGCCAGAGAGACAGAAAGCAACAAATCACCCCCGACCCCCAAGGGGAATGGCCATGCCACAATTCCTTTTCCTTCATGCTCTTCTTGGGATTTGGGGCACACATGCACATGCATCTGGTGTAAAATTTAAGCCACCAGGTCTGAGACTCCAACTGGGGTCGACTGCATGGGAGTCCAACAACATAACCATTATGCCAGCTGCTGGTCCCGTGAATTTGTAAACTTTCCAAGTCTGTTAAGCAAAAGTGCTATTTCCTCATTAATTTCACCTTGCATTTCTCAAATGAGTCTGAGTCCTCCCTCCTACATGTTTCTTGCCCATTCACATTTGCTCTGCTGTGGCTCACTTCATGTCATTTGTGGATTTTTTTTTTTTGTCACTAGACTCGTTAGTTTGTAGGAATTCCGTCTGTGATAAACACTCTTTTCTGTTTGTCACATCATTTCCTCAGATTTATAGCTTCTTCATGAACTTATTTAAAAGGTTTAATTTGGGAACAGCAGGTGGTGTGGTGGTTAAGGCACTGAACTCCCACATGGCCAACTTTGGTTTGAATCCTGGACCTAGCAGCTTGGGAATCACACCAGGCATGTGTGCCTAAAATCCCAAGAGGAGAATGGAGAACGGAGAAGGGATACTGGTGTGGCCATTCCCTCTAGGGGGAGTGATTTCTCACTTGCTCTGTCTCTCTCTCAGTCTCCAGCAAGTGTACACACCCTATAGCAAGTTTAAAAAATAATAAACATAGACAACTCCTTTAGAAACTTTGGTCAAAGAATCCTAAAAGGTTTTAGAAGATGGTATCCTTCTTTCCTTTTCCAAGCCCAACGTTAGCCCAATCACACCTGTGGGTCAGACAACTGTTGGCACCAATTAACAGGCAGAACTTCCAACATTGCTGGGCTTTCCCAAGGTGAACAGCTTAAAAACATCTCCAAATGGGGGACCAGCAGTTAGCATAATGGCTGTGTTGCTGGACTCCCACATAATTGACCGTGGTTCGAGTCCCAGACCCGGTGACTTGAACTCACACCGGGCACGTGTGTGTGCCCAAGATCCCGAAGAGGAGAATGGAGGAAAAGGGATTGTGGCATGGCCATCCCCCCAGGGGGTGATTTCTCGCTTTCTGTCTCTCTGTCTCTGTCTTTCTGGAGAGCCCACATGCCCTTAAGAAAAAACCTCTCCGAAAAAAAAAAAAAAAATCTCCTAAATGGGACCAGCAGATGGTGGAACGGTTATGTAGCTGGACTCTCACACGGTCCATGGCAGTTAGAGTCCCAGATCCGGCGACTTACAACTTTCACCAGGTGTGTGTGTGTGTGTGTGTGTGTGTGTGTGTGTGTACGTGCCCAAAAGGTATTGTAGCATGGCCTTTTCCCCTGGGGGGTGATTTCTTGCTTTCTGTCTCTCTGGCAAGGGCACACACCCTATAACAAAAAACTCTCTTAAAAAAATTGTTTTTTAGAGAAGTTTTTGTTATAGGGCACGTTCGCTCGCCAGAAAGACAGAGACAGAGAGACAGAAAGCGAGAAATCACCCCCCAGGGGGGATGGCCACGGCGCCTTCTCCTCCATTCTCTTCTCGGGATCTTGGGCACGCACACACATGTGCCTGGAGTGAGTTTAAGCCACCGGGTCCGGGACTCGAACTGCGGTCGACTACATGGGAGTTCAGCAACATAGCCATTGGGCTTACTGCTGGTCCCTCTTAAATTTTTTTTCTTTTAAAAAGGAATCTGATTGTACCCTTTCATCACAACCTGTCCTTTTCCTTCATGGAATCTGTCACAGTCTCTCTCTCTTTTTTTCCCCATTGTTCAACTCACTTCAGTACCAGCAGCCCACAGGTAGAGGCTAGGCAATGGTTCAAGCCCAGTTGGCTCTGGCATACGGTACTATGAGAAACCCAGGGAAGGGACCAGCAGTTAGCGTAATGGCTATGTTGCTGGACTCCCACGTAGTCGACTGCAGTTCGCGTCCCGGACCTGGCGGCTTAAACTCACGCTGTGCCCAAGATCCCGAGAGGAGAATGGAGGAGAAGGGATTGAGGCATGGCCATCCCCCCTAGGGGGTGATTTCTCACTTTCTGTTTCTCTGTCTCTCTCTCTCTGTTGGGAGGTGCGCGGCCCCATAGCAAAAACCCCCCCAAAAAAAAAAAAAAAAAGAAACCCAGGGAACACAGCTTCTAATTCTATTATTTTTTTTGTTTTAAATTTTATTTATTATCATTATTATTATTTTTTATTTGATCAGAGAGAGAGAAAGGAAAAGCAAGAAACCAAGCCACCAGTCCAGGACTGGAACTACCGTTGGCCGTGTGGGAGTCCAACACCTTAACTACCATGCCACTTGTTATCCCCCTAATTCTATATTTATTGTTGTGATTATTTGATTAATTCTATAATCTCTAATAGATTGAAGACCTTAAGATGGTAAGAAGTAGGCCTCTTTTCTTTCTTTTTATTTTTAAAATTATTTTCTTTTATTTATCATTATTAATAATATTTAATTTGCTGTAGGGCACGTGAGAGAGAAAGTGAGAAAGCAAGCCGCCAGGTCCAGAACTTGAACCGCAGTTGGCCATGTGGGAGATGAGCGCCTCAACCACCATGCCACCTACTGGCCCTGATAGGCTTTTCGTATCTCAGTTTCCTCGACCACAAAACCATGATAGTATAATGCCAGCACACAAAAAATAACCAATCACGTGTGTGCATGTGTGTGACTCATCAAGTGCCTGCATTTGTAAAGCAAAACACACTGGTGACCCCATATGGAGATACCACGCTGAGTGGCCCTCTCAGAGCGGTCCATCTGCCTCCCTCAAGGACATCTCTCTGATTGGACACTGTCACCTGCAACGTATAACAGGATGTATCTTGTTTGGTTTCTCAATCATTTGAACCCACCCTTATTCAACAATGTGGGCTATCAGCTTTTGGAGACGATCTTGAAGTAACTGCCCTTTATTCATGTGACCAATATTTGGTCTGTGCCTACCCCTACTATATTCAAACACGATGCTGGAGATAGGGAAACACGGATAAATGAACCCTGGTTATTATTCTCAAGGAATTTATAGTTTTGAAACACAGTCAGATCTATAAGCAAATTTTAACTTCCCTCTTTTAAAACACTAATTTTTTTTTTAAGAGGTTTTTGCTATAGGGCGTGTGTGCTCGCCAGAAAGACAGAGAGACAGAAAGCGAGAAATCATCCCCCCCACCAGGGGAGTTCGCCACGCCAATCCCTTCTCTTCCATTCTCCTCTCGGGATCTTGGGCACGCACACACATGTGCCTGAAGTGAGTTTAAGCCACCAAGTCCGGGACTCGAACCGCGGTCAACAACATGGAAGTCCAGCGACATAGCCATTACGCCAGCTGCCGGCCCCTTAAAACACTAATATTTCAAGGCATGCTCAAAGTTTTAAAGGATCACAGAGAATGACTATCAACACAGCAAAACTGTAGAAAAAATGCTATTTAGAATGACTACCCAAGGGACATACTTTTCAAGCCTCTAAGCTCTAACTTTTATATCTGTTTATACCACAAGAAAGCAATTTACCTGGACGACATTAGACAAGTCGCTTAAAAAACTATCATCATGAAGCTGGCAAATGGCGTGGTGCTGGACTCCCACATGGCTGACCGCAGTTCAAGTCTTGGACCTGGTAGCTTGCTTTCTCACTTTCTCTCTCTCTCTGGTCAAATGAAAATAAATAAATAAAATAAAATTCAATAAAATAATTCTTTAAAAATAAATCATCACTAGGTTGCTTTACGTCCTTGGCTTTTATAACAAAAAATATTCTTATGAATTTTGCTTCTGCATTTGTTGTTCATATCTTAATTGCTTTATTACATCATTCACTATTTTTTTAACTCCACAGTAATTGTCTCATTTTTATTTATTTATATTTTTAGATTTTTTTCCACAAAGGCACATGTATTTACTGGAGAGAGAGACAAAACGAGAAATCACCCCCCCCCAGGGGGGATGACCACACTGCAAACTCTTCTCCTCCATTCTCTTGGGATTTGAGGTATACACACATACACACACATGGCCAGTGCATTTTTCAACCTGCTGAGTCTGGGACTTGAATCGCACAACAGGCCATGGAGGATCTAGCTGCCTTAACCGCGGGCTCTACCTGCTGACTCATGATCTCCTTTTTCTCTAGCCTTAATGTTCTATTTCTAGTTCTCTCGCCTATTGTAAACTTCCTTTGCTCTATGGAACAGAGATGGGGATAGTG